TGTGGCGGCTCTCCCATCAAGGCATGCTAAGTAGGGACACCTCACAAGGCAATGTAAGGGCTGGCTATATTTTATGACCTGAATGCAAAACCTGTATTAGTTTCAACCTGCTCCTAGTAACATGTGTCTAATGCTAAATTATCTCTTTCATGTGGTTTTTGTATTACACATTAACCTCAGATTGCTTTCATGTGTTCAACTTTCACGAGTTCAAGAGTTTTGCAGGAAGAGCAATGAAATGTGTTTTTGTCAATCTCTTTAGTTTTGGGGCCAAGCTGGGTTTCCAGTGGGCAATTGGAACAGCACTGACTGCCTGGAGGAGCAGGAGTCAGCAACCTGTGTGGTGCAGGCATGTGTGAGTGCCTGTGCCTGGAAGTGACTACAGAGGATCCCATTTGGGAAGAACTGTAACGGTGCAGGGCAAAGGCTGGAACAACCCAGGAACAAGCAGACTGGGATAGGTAACCCTACAGAGTCCTTATTTTCCTAAGCATACGTGTTTCTAGAGAGGTAGGCATGAATGTATAAATGATAGAACTCTCAATGGTTTGTGCTGAGCAATGCTGTGCCACAGCAGGGGGCTGGACTGACAGCTTTAGATCTGCTGGACTCACTTCTTGTTGGCCTGTCTAAGCCTGAATCTGATTTTTAAACTAGAGCTAGCCCCAAACCTCCCCAGTCACAGCACCTGCTTTGCTCCTCCATGCCACAAATCCTCCGTGGAGGAAGGGGGACAGCTCCTTCTGTGTCTTTCTGAGTGGGATGATCTCAGCATGAGTCACTTGCAGCAGGATGTGGACCCTGTTTCTTTGGAAGCAGCTGCACAGCTCAGCACGTCCCTGACACAGCTTCTGGAACAAGGCAGGGCACCTTCCAAACCAAAGCATTCATGGGCAAGGCTTGAGCATGCTCTAATGTTGTGAATGGCTCTCACCCGAGAGCAGGATGTAACGACCAGAAAAGGGTGGGGATATTGTAGATCCTTTTCCCTCATTCTTAGTGTCCAGTTAGTACCCTAAAACAGTTAACTTGCGAGCCTGCAGCAAAAACCACAGGAGCAGTGAGCTCTCTATTACAGACATTGGCTGTAACACAAAGGGAGATATTGGTTCATTGATCACCTCGTGGTCTTGGGTCACACCTCATTAGAGATTCTCAGTTGCTGAGGATTATTCCTGAAATGTCCATTTGAGTCCCAGCCTTCTTGGTCCTGCTTGAGTATTTTTCTTTTTTCCTAATTTTGAATGTATCTGAGGAGATTATCAAATACCTCCTAGACCAACACCTTCCTTTCCTCACAGAAAGGTCTACCCTCCCCTTGAATCACCGGAAAACACTACCCCAAAGCCATTTGCTTGGGCTGGGTGACATGCTGGGCAGTTAATGATCCAGCACAGCTGTGTCCAAGCATCCCAGCAATGAACACAGGCTAAAATAGAAGCCACAAGCGGGAAACATGCAAACCCTTCCTGTGCCAGAGACGAAATCCAGGGAATGCTGGGCTGGATTGCTGGATTTTCACGCCTCCCACTAAATAAATCCAGTCTGCAGTCCACCCGTCCGCTCTGTCCGAGTTGGGGCTCCTTAAAAGCTTTATGGAGGCATTTCCAGTGGGGCATCTTCCAGCAACAGCAGAAACCCTCAGGCAACACCTTTAGGGTAGACACACCTAATTAGGCTGGTTTTTGGAAAGGTTGGTTTGCTACTGGCAAATGACCCATCACGGAGTTTAAATGACCAGCTTGCCCAGTTTTCAACCTCACAAAGATTTTTTACAGTTAATTCTTTCCTGATTGTCCCTGAACCCTGTTCCAAGTAACTTCAATGATACATCTAAAGTCTATTTAAAATAAAGGGTGGAGTACTTGTCCTTCTTCCAGCAAAGAAACAAATCCAGGCCAGTCAAAAGGTTTCAACTAATATTGGATGATACTTGATATATGAAGCTATTTGTGTTTAATGATCCAAATGTGGTGAGTGGAAGAAAGTTGTCTAGCTTTTAATCAACATTTTTGCAATGCTGGATGCAGAAGTGGGAGCAGTAGTCACTATGTAGCCAGTTCTCATTATTTTATTCTGAATTTTTCCCTGTCATACTATTTTAATTTTTTTTTTAAAAGAAAATTTGTTAATATCTAAGAAGTTCGGTTCTCATTAAAAACAACCAAGCAAACAACCCCCCCCAACCAATCCATAATGTGTTTCTAGTCCTTACACTTATGGAGAATATGACCCATGTACACCCCAAAGTAAAATAAAAATACCTCACCAAATCTTACAGTTTCTGAGTCAAGCCCTGTACACTCATATTCCGTTTTGTATTTAATTTTTTGTGGTGTTGGCATTTCTGCAGTTGTAAGTCAAGGGCTGCCCTGAAGCAGTGATTTGATCTCCCTTGCCTGAGCTTGCCCCACAAAAGCCTATTGGTAATAAATATTATCCCAAGTGACTGTGGTGTAAGTAATGGCATTCCTTGCCCAAAGATCAGCCCCCAAAAATCACTCTCTGTTCATGTTTGGAAAGAACTGCTGGGGAGAAAGGTGCAAATGACTCTTGCCTCTGCTCGTGATGTCAGATACAGATCACCTGGACGCCAAGAGCAAGGCAGACCCAGCAGGACCCAAGCAATCCCCAGTTCCTGATGTCTGACCCTGTTTTTCTTGTGGAGCTCATGTCTGAGGCTGTGCTCAAACCACCCTATCCTCCCTTTTCTATAAGGATGTACATGGTGCCTTCCTCTCTTTGGGCATGGCAGGTCCGGCCAGCTGTGCACAGATGTGCACCTTCCCAGCAGCAGCAAGGCCAAGCTTACTCTAAGCAAGGACTGATGCCTTGGGCCTGAGCTTGGCCAGCAGCAACCAAGCTGCTGGGAGAGATGTGAAGGACATCAGACCATGCTTTTAAGGCCTCCATGGATGAATCCCTGCTTTCACCAGTGCCATCACTCCAGCATTGTCCTGGAGAGGCTTCCACGCAGCACTGTGGGACAAGCCCAGGTGCTCCCTCCTTCACTGCCCACAGGAGGTGAGTGTCACTGGTGATCCTATGAGGAAAGAATGAGTCTCCTTTTTTCAGTGCTCCTCCTTTCTTCTTTCTTGTGTTCGCAAATACAAGTGGTAGAGGGGTGGGAGGATTTGAAAATGCATTGCTTCATCTGTATTTTTAATTAAGCGCTTTGCATTTTAAGCTTTGCTGTAAAATATGATAGATTTCTTCAATAATAATTACACTGGGGAAAACCAGCTTTGTCTGATTTGCATAAGACTTGCTTTATCCAGGCATGTGGTTTTATTAGAGCTTAAATGTGATTATCTAGGGGAAGACCACAAGCTTTTGTTTAGTGATAAGAAGGGTCAAAAAAATTAAAGGAAACACAAGCCATAAATCCCTCTCTGCAGGCTGTTTGGTTCCACCACAGTACACTAGTGATTCTCCCTGGAATCAGCACATGGTTCCCTTATCTTGTGGTGGGGAGATAGGCAGTCCCTGGGGAAAGCAGTAAACTGCCTGAGTCTTTGAGTCAAGGAATGGAAAACACAGAGTGTGATTATCAGAGTCCCTGTCCCTAATCCATCCTTTAATGTTCCCATAGTTCTCTGCAGTTTGAATTCCCTTAATTACGTGATGGATTTACAGTTTAACATTTCAGATATAATTACCTCTTATTATCAAAAACAAAGGAGACACGTGCCAGTCTCAAAGAGTAAAGACATAGCCCTGAGGAAAGGGATTAGTTCATCTTGTCTTTTCCCCTCACACGTGCACATGCAGATATTTCTGCACAAGTCCCTCTATACCAACTTGTCAGTGCATCCTTGTTCCTTGGCTGCCAGGGCTGATCTTTCTTCATGCATCTGGGAAGTGGTTGAAAAGTCCTTTGGTTGATTAAGCTCATGGTCATCATCATAGGCTCAGGTACCAACAGAGGTCCAGCTATTTGAACTTTGATATACATGGCAAGACTAAAATAAGGTGTTTAACAGTGCTTCCCAAGGTTTGAACAAGTGGAAACCTACTGGACATCAGGTAAGAGCACCAGGGTGCTCAATGAAATCACTGTAACTGGTTGATAGAGTGTAAAGTTCTTCACATGAATGCTGGCTCTGTGAGGCACTGATTCTCATCTGTTAAATCCTCTCTTTGGAGTCCTTTTTGCATTTAAGACAGGCAACGTGTCTGCAGGATCTTCCATACCTTTCTTATTTTCTCACTGGAAAAATTGTATGTTACTTTTGGGACCTGTCTGTTAAAGGAATTGATTGCAAATGGAAGCAGGGCTGAACTTCAAATTTTGTTTGCATTTAGACATTTTTATGAAAACTATTCACTTACCACTATCCTGTCAAACCATTTGAGTTCACTCCTAAACACAAACATGATGACTGATGCCCTTAGCTTCAAGTGGACATCACTAAAATTGAAAATTAATTTTAAAAAAGTAAAAGGTACATTTTATGGTAAGCAGTGTAACTGACAGATACTGAGACAAGGGGCAGTGAGGTGTTTGTGTGTATGTAGACACACAGTCAGCTTTGGAGAATGACACTGAAGAATTATCTCCATTACAGCAGGGTGGTGCCATTTCTCGTATCAGCCTCATTCATCTCTCTGCAAACTGTGCCAGGAATAAAAGGTGTGATGATCAGTGACACAGAAACAGCTACCTGATGGTCCTGTTGTGTACACACCAAGGATGTTGCCCTGGAGACCATGTGGCAGCAAGGGCAGTATTCCTATTTTCATCCAGATGCTGGGAGCTGCTTGGAGAAGTTCATCCGTCAGGGAGGTTAACTGGGGGCTTCATCAGCACCGACCCTCCTTGCCATGTGGCTTCCTGCTGCCCCTGCAGAGCTCCTAGAGGGGAACAACACATTTACCAAAATTCCCCAGGGGCAGAGGAGAGCTGGGCTTTGGGCACTGTTTCTTGCTTGCAGCCACATGTGACCTTGCAAGTCATGGAGTGAGGCCACTAAATCCTCATAAGCCTCTTGTGCCTGTTTGCAGCCCTCTGCCCTGCTTACCAGGGTGGTGTCAGAGGGTGCCTTGGCACAGCATGTGGTCCTCCAATGGGGATTAATCCCACTCAATGTGGACATGGCAACGCCTACACCTGAGCTGTCTAGACACCCCTTCTAACAAGAAAAAAGCAAGAGGTGTGGCTAGGGGCTGAGTCATTTCAACTTGACAGCCCAAACAAGCCTGCCTAATCTGCCCTAAAAAGATGCCTGTTTTTTTCCAGCAGCTGCAACATGAGCCCAGAGTGCTCAGGTTGGATGGAGATCCTGCATTGTATGGCAAGCTGAATCCCTCTCCCTGGTTCTGTGTTGGCTGTGGCCATGTAAGGCATCAACAGATGAGAAAGCTGATTTTGTTCTGCGCCGGTCTCTGTGTCTTCCAGGTCTTCTGCTGTTTCTGGGGTTGCAAAAGGAACATCCAGCTATCAAGTCAGTGCCCCATCTTGAATTTTTATATATCCCTCTTCATCTTAAAAGGAACTGTACACCTGGAGGTGCCTCAGTGTGGTCAGTGCAACGAGCTGGGCACAGTGCTGAGCAAAGATTGTATCTCCTTTCTCTAGAAAGTCAGACCCTATTGTTACACACAAAGTCCCCAAATCCTTGGTGTCTCCTTTGCCCAAGCATGAGATCATTACCTGTTGTGTGGGGGTAAGCTGGGTCCCTTAGTGAGGAAAAGCCAACAGCACCAGGCTTCAAAAAAGACCGGAGATTCTAAGTGACTTTCAAGAGCGTGGCTGGGGTTCTGCTAGCTGTTCTCCAGTTCTGGGCTGCTTCCAGGTCCTGGTGATAGGTATTGCATTCAGCAGGAGCTCTAGCAGCCAGTCCATCAGAGCAGCAGTGTATAAATCAGGAGATGGATGCAAAGAGTCATTAAGGGTGAGGAGCTGGCTTTAGGAGTATGTTTGCACCCATCTGAAACCTGTCCACTGTCTGAGATGTTAAGCCATATTCTGAGCTTCACATCATTGTGTTGTGTTCTTTCTCTCCATTGAGTTTGCATAAAGAACAAGCCTTTGGGGTAGAACTTTTCTGCCTTTGACACTCCCAACTCATTCTTGCAAGTTTATATTTGTTGGTTTTGTTGTTGAGTAACCAGTAATAAATAATCTTTTGGTCAAGACTCTTAAAATGGGTCAGTGAACCTCAAAGCGTCTCTGAGTTGTCTGTACCATGAGAGCCATTCCTCCTGATTTAGAAATAGGTGAAGCACTGACATACTAGGGCATTTTAGAGTGAGACCAAACAACTAAAAATTTGTGCTCTTGTATTTAGGAGGATGTAGCATTCCCTAACAGAAATCCTGCACACCTGGATGTAGACAAATGAACAAAGTCCTGAACAGTCTAAAAGGAAATACCTCCTGCATCCAAAAAATGTGGGTTAGAAAGGAGACTTTTGCTTTGTGCCTCCTGCTTCAGTTTAGAGTTGATCAAGCAACTTCCTTCTACAGAGAAAGTGTTTCTGTAAGTGGCAGAAGAAAAATATCGTGGAGAAAAAAAAAACCCTAGCTCTTGAATTCCAAAAATACTGTCTCCTTTCAAAGTAAGATTTATGTGCAAGAAGACAATCTCTCCTACAGAGTTTTTCCTGTCACTTGGAGTCCACTCTCTGGAAACAAGCATACAGTTTAAAAATATACTGGAAGAGCAGCTTGGACACAGAGAAAGGAATGACCTGTAGTCCTAAAAAACAGAGGAGCTTTTCAGTAGCTTGAGGCTTGGAACAAGAATCTAAAAGTTATGTAACACCAGTAAAATTTGGGGCATTCTTGTTACCTAAAAAATAACCATTCTTGGCTTCTGACATTAATATCTCTACTTGGGGATTACGTTAACTGTTTTGTGGGGAAGCTGGATGGAAATCTGCAGCTGTGGTGGTGAGTTTTCTTCAGTGTGTACAGGGTCGGGATGAGTGAGTGGTTGGGTTATTTGAGGGCTGGTGTTCCTGAGCCCTCTTTGTCTGGGATCCAGACAAGCCTTCCTGTTGAGAAACAGTGTCCTACTTCGGTGAAGACAAACAACAGAACAGCTCCTGCTCTAGCAGGACAGTGCAAGCAGTAAACTGTTTCCAGTTGATGCTACGAGCATGGAGTGGCTCCTGGAGTTATCAAAGTAGAGGTAACACACCTCCTTTCTTTCTCTCCTTGGTTTTATCAAGATAGTTTTGGTTCTTGCAAAATTCTAAGAGATATTGTGTGGGCCTTTTGCAAGGAAAAGGGTGGATGTCCATGTGCACCTCTGAGGTGGGAACAATGGGTACCACTAGCTCTATTCAAGGACACAACTTCATTTTCAACATGAGTGGAAAGTATATGGGAATGCTTAATAGCTTTTCCTAGAACAAAACAATAACCTGAACAAATTGCCTCCTTCCAAAAAAAGAAAAAAACCAAAAAAACCCAAGCAACAACCCAGCAAAAAAAAAAAACAAAAAAAACCAACCAAACACATTAAAAAAAAAATCTGTATTTGTGTATGTATATATATATATATATATATATATATATATATATATTTATTTATTTATTTATTTTTATATATATATATATATGCCCAGCAGTGCCTGGCAATGACTTTGCTGCTTTGGGGAGCTGGTCAGTTCTCTGCCATGCTCTGAGGAGCACTCTGCTGAGCCCCTTAGCAAGCACTGTTTAGGAAATGGGGAAAGAGGTGCAGAAGATGTTTTGTTATGCCTTTGAAACTGATAACTTGAGTCTGTAAGTTGAGCTGCTTTTTGGAACTGTGTCCAGGTTGTCATGGGACTGCTTAAGAAACCCCAAAATCCAACAGTACCCACAGTGGTCTTCCCTTTGTTCCACCCTAGATGTTCTGCACAGAGGCGGAACCAGATGGATCTGCCTTCAGTGGCTTTTGGTTTTATTCTTCCTTTTGTTTTTATTCTTTATGGTAAAACAGCACAGTCTTTTTGTCTCCTGTCCCTTATACAGCCTTGTGACCAATTAAAGGGGTCCACAGACTGTCCATATAAAAGCATGTGTGTACCTAGAGCCCGTCTGCTGTACTGATGACTAGATGGGCTATTACATGTACATTTAATAATTGTATCACATGCCTAGTTTTCTCTGTGTGAAAAGCATAGAGGTACCTATCAGCAGATATAAATGCCTACAAAAAGGCTGTGATGTGGTAGAAGGGCTCTTAGCAGGAGATGTGTGGGAAGTAATCTTTGTTATGGCTGTACCAACCTTTACTAGCCCAAGTGTGATGATCCCAAGCTGAAGAAACCTTTGTACCACACAGTATTTTCCAGTTAATTATATATATTTGTGCATCTGGGTGTGTGTGTGTGGACAAGTGAGATCATCCATTCCTGGGAGAGTTTTTTTTAACCTATCCAGAATATTTTTCCTCTCATTAGGCCCTTTCCAGGAGCTCAACAACAACAATAGGGCCAAGGGCCTTCCCTCTCCTCTGGTGTCTGCAGTCCAGTGTCTGCACTGGGGTGTGGGCTCTGGAGTCAACTCCAAGGACTGCTCCACCTTCAGTCTGCTGTATTTCCAAGCTCAGATAGCATGGGATGTTTCCAGGCCAGCCTGGCTGCTGGCCAGGTTCTTGCCAGAAGCAGTAACCAGGAAAACAAATACTTTTTTTTTAGTTTGTATGTGTCTGGATATGAGAGAAAAATGACAGAGAAAAATTCTAGATTTTGAGCCATCTGGCATCACTTAGTGATGTGCAGTCAAGGGTCTAGCTCACTTTTAATTCAAACAAATTGTTCTACAGTTGTATTTGAAAAATTCTAATTTAGTGCTTGCTTAGAAGTCTACGAGTTAGTTTTGGTTGATTTTTATAAGGTGGGCTGGTCTGTGTAGGGTTTTTTCATTTTGAAAATGGCACTATTATTTGCTCCTTCCCATATTTTCTTGGATCAGAAGGTTCACTGAGATGCCAAACTGTGGCTGGCTACAGCTCCAGCACATCTTGTAACCAGGCAGGCCATGACACGCCAGAGTGGTGGAGCGTGGTGTGTACAGTCCAGGAAAGATGTGACAGATGAACACTGCTGATAATGTTCACCACTCCAGATATTCTACTAAAATCCCCTTCTTCCAGGCAGCTTAACTCTTGAGACACTGATATAACGAGCACCTGAAGAAAACAGATGCCTACAGACACCCACCATCAGAACAATATTTCTTTAGTGTAGAGCTGAGCAAGAGTAGAAATGTGAGTTGCTCTTTCCTAGCAGGGGAACCATAATTTCTGCCCAGTTTCTGTGTAATTTCAGGCACTGTGCTGGCTGGGATCTGCATTCTGTCCCTGCTTCCACAAGGAATATGAGGAACACTGAGCAGCACCATCACAGCCTGTTTCTCTTCAGCATAAGGTATGACAGCACCAAAGTACCCCCTGTGCCCTTGGTCAGAAAGGGCATTCACAGTCCTCCCCCTCTTCCCATTCATCATCTCCCCCTTTTCACACCCAGAAAACAAAAAGTGTTGTGCAATGCCTGCAAAGCTTACATGGTACAGGCCAGGCCTTGGAAAGGCACTGCAGTTCCGTCTTGGTTTGGGGGATATAAACAGAGATTTTGGGATATAATCTTATGTTCATAACTTTGCTTTGGGTAAGGTGCAATGTACCATGAGATCCTACAGCCCTGACCAACAGGCCAGCCCACAAGGGAAGGAGGCAAGTTGGAATATGGGATTGTGAGTTCTTAAACTGCAAGAGGAGGGCTGTGCAGGGTGTTATTGCTGAGTATAATACACCCTTCCTAAGGAACTGCACTCTTGTCTAATGAAGTCTTTACCTTGTGAGAGGCAATGAAAGCTGATTGCTGTACTCATCAGGCTCGTGGCTTCCTTTGAGTCTTTTTCACTCCCTAAATGTTGATAACATCAATCTGGATGGAAGGAGAGACTGTAGGGATGGTCTGAATATCAGGATTACTCGCCTGCCCTGGAGGACTGATCTTCCTCCTGCTCACCTGAGCAGTAGCAGGGCTCTCTTGGTGAAGCTCCATTTCTGTTTTTACAAGAGAAGGTATAAGCAGTTTCCAAAATCTGGATAGAAAATACACTTCAGCTCTCCATTCTTTAAAATAACTAGTGGAAGAAAAGGGAAAGGGGAAAGGAAAGGCACAATGATCATTATTGTGGTGAAAATAAAAATCTCCAGGATATCCTGAACTTGGGTTAGAAAGACAGTGTTTCTTTACCTAGCATTGGACAGGCTCAGGCCAGGCTCTAGGATGAATCCTTCACTTGGGATAGAAGTCCTGTTTTATCAGGAACAAACTCCACAAATAAGTTTCACAAACCATAAATGAAACTCAAACTTTGTCTGGCACAATCCAAAGATGGAAAAGAAGGGACAGATTACCAGAAGCACTCTGAAATCAGATAATTGTGTTTTTCTGGAAAAGAAAGGAGAGAAGGAAACACTTGTTAGTTTGTTATTGTGAAGTGAAGCATTGCCTTGTCAATAGAGCCACTGATATAGGGAAACTAGATCCCTGTTTGTTATTTGCAAGCATTTATTTATATATATATATATATATATATATATATATTTGTTCTTATGAAACACAATCTTCACATTAAGATACAGCCCTTTCTATTCACCCTCTTAATTATCTGATTGTGTCCATTTCTATGGCATTGGCTGTTGCACATAGTCCATCCATCCTGTGCATCTGTGCTGGAGAGCAAAGTTACTAACAGGTAAGATCAGTTATTGCACAGATTTACTGCACCTTATCTGTTCTGCTGTACCCCGCCACATGCATGCCCTCAGCCAGCAGCCTTCAAAGGCAGCCTGTGCCATGTTCAGCAAGGACTTAACCTCCTTCCCTGGTCCCAGGACAAGAGCTGGAAAAAGGGAAGTTACCTTATTCTAAGTGGTATGCTCTAAAATTCCACCCTCACTCACCTTGCGGTAACTTGCTCGTGTAGTCATGGCCTTAAGGCTTTGCTTTAGTATCCATGGCCACAACATCTAAGCATTTTTATGGTACCGCACACACTAAACATTAATTTCAAATTATTGAGAGTATTTTCATGACTCAACAACTTTCTAATGACTGTGTACCTTGTTAAAGTCTTGCAGTTCTTTAATAACAAAGTTTTCCCCGATCCCTTGGCATTCAGGCATTCTGTATAACTGAAAAGAAATGCATAGCTGAAGTGGGTTTTTAGGACACTCGATTTAAAGTGAGCCCAAGGCAGGAAAGGACTCTTTGAATATCTCCAGAGTGGACACTCCCAGAGCTGTCTGTGTGCAGTTTGAATTAATTATTCTCTTCATGGAATTCATACAAAATGTCCCTCAGGCTCTTTTTGACTGCCTTGTTGCCCTTTTGTGATAATCCCTTGCTATCCACTGGGCTTTCTGTGGTCCTAAACTTAACATACAAAGCCATTTTTATCTAGGGGCCAGGGTGTGAATAAATGCAGGGAATGTCTCTCAACATGACTTTGTGTTTGTGAACCTTTCTCCAACTTGATTAGAAATGCTCAAACTTTCTTGCAAGCTGCCTTTAAGCATCCCCCTGTGGCATAGCTGCAGTCAGAAGGATTTCTTCTGCCATGGGTCACACAAGACAGCAAGCAGCCAGGAGCAAAAGGGAAGTTTGGAGGCAGACTGGAGGCCTAGGACATGGATCCTCTGGTCTCTATTCTTCAGTGCAGTACATAAAATGACCTTAAAGGAGACCATAAAAGTCTCCTTGCCACCCTTGGGTAATGCAGGTGTGACAGAGCCATGCTGTCTGCCTTTGCTGACAGCTAAACCCCTTTATTTGGGGTTTCAAGAGCACCTCAGGGAGGTGGGTTCCCAGCCCTCCACTAATTTCAAATGGGGACGCATATGTCTCTAGGGCTCTTGAAAAACCCAGCCCTTAATGTTTTATGAAAAGGGTATAAAAGGCCAGAAGGAGGATTTTGTTCACATCATTAGCTGTGATGAGTCCTTTGGATGGAGAAAATTCAGTGAAGCATTGCAAAGATCCTCTGCAACAAGGCCCACAATCTCCAGTCTTTAATGACCATCAGCAGAGAGCACACAGCACAACAGTGTGTACACAACTGTTTGTACCCAAACACCACTTTGGTCAGGCAGCAGACAGCAGCAGCTTACCTGCTTTGCAAGGGCCTCTCTGAGCTCCTCCTGGCAGCTGGGCTGCTTCTGAGAATCCAAAAGGTGTACAACTCTAGTTGTTTCATCATTTAAACATCAGTTGAGAAACAACTGCTAGACTTCCAAAAAAACAACCAACCAAAACAAAACCACAAACAAAACAACCAAAACAAAAACCAAGCACCAAAGTCAGTAAACCAATGTAACCAGCTTAGAGCTGCTGTTTGGGGTGAGTCAGTGTCCTTGGGCACTGCCAGCTGTGCTCCAGCTGTGTTGGAGACCACACTGGCAGGTTTTCTGGCTCAGGTCTCGATACTGCCTTGTAGCTGCCTGGTTCCAGGCTTGCACAGGGATCCTACACAGACCCACCACAAGCTAGACTGGGATAAAGGCTGGCTTAGAGGCAGCATCAGCTTGCTTGTGAGAGGGACAAAACACTTCCAAGCAGCAGCCCTACCACTGCATAGGAATTAATGAATTCAGTGGCTCCTGCTGTGACAAAGAAATGGTGGTTTCAGATGTTCTGGGCCCATGAGAGCTGTGGCTGGTCAGTTTGGGTCACAGGTAACATGACCAGCATTCTGTCAGGCCATCATCCTTCTTATTTCAATGTAAACACTTCCCACCTGTCCCAAATATGCATGCCATTCCCCAAGACTCTCCAGCATTGCTTGCATTGGCAAAACTTTATTCCCTGCTCCTGCTCCCTGTGCCGCATCTGTTCCCATCACAGCTGTGGCCACCCTGTTCTGGCTGCTGACACCCTGGCCCCCCCTTCCCCTCCAAACCACCTCCCCTTCCAAGATCAAAATACTCTGTTTTTATTTATTTACCCTGCAGCTGTCAGTGTTGTGTCTGGATCTCTGCACTGCACCGTGGAGGGACACAGGACACACGATATGTGGAAAATCCTTAAAACTGCCATCCTGGTAGTAACCAACACACATACAATCAACAAATGGATCCCTTGGCCCCTGCACATTTGAAAACAACAGGTCCAGGTGACGGAACAAATGACGTTGGAGGCTGGTACGAGGTCCTGGCCCAAACCAGAGCTGCATTTGCCCGTGGTCAGGGAGAAGAGCCAGGGCTGGAGATAGCAGTTATCCCAGGGCTGCCCACCCCAATGGTTTTTGGCACTCTACAGAAATACACAAGGCAGAGATGTGGGTCTGAGGTATCAGTGCTTTGTTTTGTCTCTCTCTCTCTCATGCTGCTTTTTGAGATGAAGGGAAACACTCTCTCAAATGTCTCAAGGGCTGTTGAGGACCAGGAAGCATCTGGGATGGTGCATCGTAGCAAGGAAAGGCAGAGCCTGGAATGAGTTTGATTTTCTTCCGTTTTCTGGTTTCAAGCTCATTATCCAGATGCTGGCTTTGGAGGTGAAGCCTCAGCCCTGTTCAGCCACAGCACCTTATAAAGACAGGCAGGTACATGGGTTCACCAGTGGCCTCTCACTCCCACATCAGTGCTTAGGAAAGTAAGTTAACATTCCAGCAAGCTCCAGCTAGCAGGGTACCCAACACCCTGCAGCCCTGCATGCAGAATATTCACTGGATTGCTTTGAGAGGCTGTTGTGTCCTCATGGCCGCTGGGAACCAGGGATGGATCAACTGGCTCAGGGTTGTTGTGTGTCAGCAGCAATTGATTTTTTCAGTATGTTAGATACCATTTTATTGCCAGCCACTGTGTAACCTCTACCCCACCAAAATGAAAATGCCTTCTAAGGAATAGCTGTAGTCTGCCCACTGTTTAAAGATGCTCACCTGAGCTTCAGCTACACCATACCCAGGGCTGTGGTTTCCTGAGCATGAGGAGCTGGGTGCAGCCAAAGGCAGCATTCCCTGCTAACCCAGGTGTTCTCTCCCGCTGGCAGCTGTGATTCAGGCTGAGGTAGGACACACACCGCGGCACTTGGGTGGGTGGCTGCAAACCAGGTCTTCTTCAGCTGCCAGCCAGTGCCTCAGGCAGTGCTCAGGGCCACAGGCACTGCACTTTCCTCTGTGCCTCCTCAGTGTGCAGGAAGAGAGGCATCATTCTCCTCATGTAGCATTGGGATGATGTTTAAAAATGCTGGCATGGAAAAAGGAATTATATTCCTGTCTTTTTCTTTCCCTAAGAATAGCTGTTTTTTAGGCCTGTTTAAAATCAAAACAAGTAAACTAATGCCTCGTTGAGGAAGAGGCTGTGCCATATCACAGGTGCCCTTGGTCAGCTTTCAACCTGCTAAGCATCACCTGTCTTTTCACTGGTACTTTCTCAAGTTCTGGAAGGCAATGAGCAGGTACCTCAACAAGAACCATGCTGGAACCTCTCTCTGACCACCAGGACATGGTTTTGGTATCCAGGTTTTGGGAAAGGAGACAGAGATGAGCAGGTGGGCTACGGCAAATGATTCTAGGTTGGTGTCACGGAAGCTGCAGAATATCTGGAATCTGGGAATATGGGAGTAGGATTGGGAGACTGAATTAAGGGGTGTGTTCAGTGGGGACATGCCAGGTCCAGGCAACAAACTCTCACTGTGGTAGTCAATTGTGTTGTCACACTGCTCTCTCTTCAGCCAGGGAGGGATGTGCAGGACCCTGAGGGCTGCAGAAGGCACTGGGAGAACAGAACCTGTGTCACAACTTTAGTGCCATGCACTCTTCAACCTCTGCAGCTAATGCAGCTCATTGAGAATCACAGCCCAAGCTGTGTCCTTCCCTCCTTCCCCACCTCTGCCCTCCCAACCACCAGGATGTGCCTCCTTCTTGCATTGTGGGGCAGTGAGAAGAGAGACTTGCAGATGATGAGAGGTGGGAGAGAAGATGACTCTTTTCTGGCAGCTTCACTAGTTTTCCACCCGGTGTTGGTTCCTTTCTCAAAATCATCAAGGGAAGACATAACCCTTCCGAAAGGTGAAGGAGGCTGAGATCTACATTGATATTTATCTATTATTGTTCTATAGTGCACATAAGTGATGAAAACAGCTACTGACAGCCTAGCAGGTTAGGCAGAAATAGATTGCCTGGAACTACAGGTTCACATCCCAGCAGTAAAATTTCCAGTCCTTGACATGCAAGCTAAACTCATAGCCAGGAGCCTGCTGGCTGTTTAGAGATTGATGTTAATGACCTGCTATGCAAAAGCATCTCTTCCAGGACAGAATCTTGTTCACCCCTGTGCAGCACATGCAGTTCCTGCTGCCTTCCACCCCAGAAGTGGCTGCATGTCTGATTCTGGCCATGTACACAACAGTTTGTCAAGCATGCCAAGACTCTCCAGCATGCAAGGCATTACGGAAATGCAAGGCAGGATCTGAGCTATGACAAGCAGAGTGCACGGCATCATATTCCACTGTGCAGAGGGGAAATAGGGATGCAAAATATCTTCTTGAGCTGAATAAGCCATTTCAATAAAATTAGGACTGAGGTGTGCTTTTGCTTCCAAATTGAAACCAAAATAAGACCACAATGCCTCTCACATTGTTCTGTCACAGTTAACTCATGAAATTACCCCACCTCCATTGCCACCAGCTATCTTCTAGTGTAGGAGTTTAATTTATCATTCCAATCACTGTAAAACACCCAAAACTTAGGGCAAAGGAAACAGGAAATCTTGTAGCTGGACTGCAGGAGGGTGAGTAATTTCAATACTCAGTGCAGTGTACAACCTCTGACCTCAATGATTACTTTTAATTTCTCTTTTGACCTTTTGTTAATTGGACTTGCTCTGTGAGAAAGCATTTCAGATGTGAACATTTTTTTAGGTCTTCTTGCTGCTTCATGATTTGTGGTTAGTTTCTAGCTGGAGAAACCCAAAGAAAAATCTCTCTGGTTAGCCCAGTGTAATCTAATCTAGTCCAGCTGCAACCCCTGAGCAACAAATTGCAACATATAAAGATTTTTCAAGCCAAGTAGCACCTAATCACATCCAGTCACTGCTTCCACCTGGAGCAAAGGGAAGATGTGAGTCCCAGCAAGAGGATGATGTGTTTGGGCTTAGAGTGCATCCATGGGAGAGAGACCCCCAATACAAATCAGAGCCAGCCACTGTCTCTGCTCTTCAGCAGGAGCTGCAGTAGTGTCAGCCAGGGAGTGTGAGCTCTCCATCCTTTGCTGGTTACAGTGGAGAGTCTGTGCAGCCTCATGCCTGCAGGGACTGTTCAGCAGCATCTGCAATCTCTGTTCCCTTCTGCTGTGGGATGTGCTGGTGGCTGCAATGCTGGCATGTGGAAGGGCTTGAGGGGGTGATGGCTTTCCTGTGCTCTGTAGGATGTAAAACCAAGCAGTCAGCAGCACCAGTGTGCACCAGAATCCCAGCTTGCACAGACTGGGGCTCACATCAGCCTCACCAGCATAGGTGGCACTGGGTGTGCAGAGAGGACAGCTGGCTCTGAGTGCAGCAGTAACCCAAGAGTTCACACCACCTCTGAGGAAGGATTTGCTGAGCTCTCTGTTATGTGTCTGTGTAGCTCTGGACAGCTCAAAGCTGCTTTGGCCACCCGTGCATCAGCTGTGCTCAATGCCTAGAGTTGTTTGGGGATGTTTGATTGTCAAAACATTTTGGTGTCAAGGGCCTCTCCACACCCTGTGGTGCGATGTGATCTCTGGCTCACAGACTGAGCAGGACTGTTTGGGAGCCCATCCCAGTTCTATTTTGACCCACACTGAGGGTGAGAGACCACAGTGTCAAAACTATACCTGATGTGACACTATCTGCTGGGATGGGTGAGCTGCTGGGTATGCAGGCTCTGAAGCAAAGCACGAATGTCTGAGCTCATTCATCTCCTGTGGGACTGAACTGAGGACAGCAGAGCCCAGACCTTCCTGTCTCACCAGGGTCTAGCGTTCTTGAAAACAACCAGAGAGGCTGTTTCTTGTTTTGGGGAATTTATTCCCTTCTGCTTTAGTTCTTTAAGATCTTTGGTCTGGGCTTGCCACAGGTTTTAGTGCCTGATGCTCAACCACGGCTCAGTGAGCCAGGTTCAGCTGTTGCAAGGTTGGGGCTGGGAGCTGTTCAGCTCCTCATGTGCACTCCGGAAGAGGAGCTTGCAGTGGAGCAAAATCTGCTTCCACACCCAATTCCTGGATAGGATTGGCTGCACTGTGCTCAGGGTGCAGTCCACCCAAGGAACAAGTGGCAAAAGCTGGCATGTCTCAGGCCCTGGCCTCTGTCCTCTGCAGTGTGTGGTGCTGCAAAGGCCACAGGCAGCAGCTGCTGGCATTCCAGAGTGCCCAACTCCATAACTGCCCTGGCAATCTCCCTGCTGGTCCCCACTGGGTTATCACAGCCATCAGCAGCCCCAACGCCTGGCAGCAGCAGCAGGGTGACTCACCTGGCCTGGCCCTCCTTGCACTAAATCTTGCTATCAGGATGATAATCTGCTGGTAATTTTTGCTCCAGCTGAGAGCTGTAGACCTGCTCTCACGCATCCTGCTCTCCCTGTAGGCAGAAAGCTTCCCCCCAAATTACCCCACCCTCGCTCAGTGTACCCACAGCCCCTGGCCACTCTCCAGCACATTGTCTGGTTTGGAAACCAAAAACCTCTGCCCTAGTACCTAATTTCAGGAATTAGGCTCTGGAGGCCAGTGAGGTGCTGTGAAGAGATTCAGGCAAGTGCGTTTTTGTGGAGGCTGCAGTGCTGAGGCCATCCATCATTCAGCCAGGGAGGGGGTGCCCGTGCTGCCCTGCTGAGCACAGTTAATGCTGAGCAGCTTTTCCCTAAGAGTTTCCTCCTGGGCCTGTAGTGCCCAGACAAGGACATGGCACATCATGGCACAACAGTGGAAGAAGCCATTAGACCTTCAGCAGCTCCAGAGCACAGACCGCAAGCTGTGAAGTGCAGATGTGCATTGCTGCACTAGTAACAAGCACAGGTCATGAGTGTGTCCTGCTCTCTTCTCTATTCCTCCTGTCACCTGTTCACCCCCCTTTTCTTTCTCCCCCTGTCTCTCCTGTGTGATGATATATGTGATACAGGGGCTTTGTTCAAAGAGGATGCTGCACTACAGGGCTGGGCTGAGAACTGATAGCTGATTTCATGCAGGACTGAACAACTCACTCCAGTCTGCCTGGGCAGAGTAGAGGTGCTGAGAGAAACTCTCTGAAATCTGTAACTGATTTCCCTGGTCTGACTTTGGGATTTGGGGTCTTTGTGAAAAAAGAGCCAGGCATGCACATCTAGACCCTACTGCACAATCACTGGCATTTAAGAAAAAAGAGTAAGAAATTAAATGGGGTTTTTGCTACTCCTGATTTCTGGGAGGAGCTCCATGTTGAGCACTTGATGGATTTACCAGCTTTGGGGGTAAATGTCCTTGGAAAGGGAGTCCGAGTCATCTCCTCTGCTGGAAAACGAGCAGTGCTGAAGCTGTGCCACCAGCCCCCTGCCCTGTAGTGACACTTCCAGGGATGGTGAGAGGCCCATGGGAAAGCTTTCTGCTGGAGGTAGGCAGAGATTTCTCTGTGCCCAGAGGAGAAGCATCCTTTATCCATAGGAATCCAGAGCTTACAGCAAAGCTGAAAGGTCTGACTGATGTTGTGAGAGCATCTTGGGGCTGGGTTAGCAACCTCAGGGGTTTATCTGAGCTGGGACTATGAGGACCCTCAATGATGTGTTTCTGTTTCACAGCTACCAGAGGTACAGGAAAGCAAGGATCCCCTTCATATGTAATCCACAGACCAGGAGTAAAGATAAGGATGATGTGAATGATCTCTTCCTCCATATCCCCTTCCTGTGGACCCCTTTGATCTAATTTACATTGTTATTTATTTCAGGGTGACCAGTGTCCCACATTGCCTTGGAGGTCAATGGAAGTTCACTTGTTGACTTCATGCACAGGATTTCAACCCGTGTCTGTGATTAGTGATGAAATGAAATTCACAGTTTGGAATAATTTATCCAGCATACCCAATCAAACACAAACATCCTTTGTGCTTGAAAATGAATCAGGGCTGGAGGCAGCTAGCCTGCTGCAGGGGTTTGTGATAGATTAATGAGCTGAGAACAAGCTGCCACCTCCACCCCCATCATCAGTGACTTTCCAGTCTGAGGAGAGGGACGCTGAGCTGGAGGTGAAGGATATACTCTCTGATAAGTGTTGCAGTGGGAGGTGAGAAATAAGAGCTTCAAGTGGAGGAGGAGGGGAGGAAAAAAGACTGTACTCTGTTAAGCAGGGTACCGTTTAGACAGAGCAGCTGCCTGACAGGCTTGTGGCAGGAGGGGCAGGGCAGGAGCAGCCCTGTGCTTGCAGCACCTGTTATTGAATGCTACCTGCAGGTACCAGGGCAGCACAGACCGTGATTCCCTGACTTCTGCCAGTCACGTGGGAAGGTCAGGGACCTAGGAGAGGAAAGGAGATGATGAAACACTGACAAGGTCTGCCCTCAGTGAGATGCACTAACACCAATGCAGAAGGGACCATATCCCAGAGGCTTCTTGGGCTTAAAGATGAAAATAAAATCTGAATTTGAGTGTCACAACTCGGTGATTTTTAATTGGGAAATTCATGTTACTTTGGCTTTCCTTTCTTTCCCCTTTAACATGCCAGCTCTGGAACTGTGACAGAAGGTCCAGGCTGTGACAGTAACACACTGGTGCAGCATCAGCTGAGTGAGTTGTGGGTCAGGGTGGGAGGGTGATGAGCCTGTGCTTCAGCTGGGGAATGGTTGTGCATTAAGCCAGGGCCAGTCAGCCACTTGCACTTCTCTGCTCTCATCTCAATACTCGCTAACATCAAAGTGAAATTTCAGTTCCCAGATTAGCAAAGAAAAGCTTGAAAGGGTGAAATGTGCATGGCCTGAAAGTGAAGAAGTGAGAAAGCAAAGCCAACCTTTAAGTGATCATTTTGAGTACACATTATTTGTGATTGTGGGGGTTTTTTGTGACCGGGGCAAACCACACTTCAGAGAGAGTTTGTCATATGAGGCTTTTATAAGTGATGAGCTGACACTGTAGGTTTGACAACCAAAGAAGGTGAAAGAGATATTTCACAGCTGAGACCATGGGTTGAGCTGGTGCCTAGTGAGGGAGGGATTTTTGAATTTGGTGCCACTCATGTGCCATGTGCTCAAACACAAGAACACTGCACTGGTGGGCAGCTGGCAGGAGAAGCACTACCAAAGACAGAGCTGGGGAGCCTGCTAGGTCTCCACCCTGACAGCACTGCATTTTTGGGCTGTCTTCTAAAACGTCCTTTATCAGCATGTGCTGGGGGTCCACAACTGCATAAGGCAGGGGAAAAAGCTGTGCTGATCCCACTGACTGGCTGGGCCCAGCATCTCCTGTCTGCAGGCTCAGATGAAAAAAGCTGCTGTGAAGTTTTCCTTCCAAAGGCAGCAGGCAAATTAAGCTGATTTCATAATTTGAAGCAGCTTCTGGGGTGCTCCAATTATGCATCTTCCTGGTGCTACATCTGAAACTCCAAACCCACACAGTTTGAGTGAGCTTGCCTCTTGCTACCTGCCTGATGTTGTGTCCTTTCACACCAGCCCCAGAGTGGTGGCTTTGCCCTGACTCCTGTAACATGTCTTTATATCCAAAAAGGCAGAAGGAAGCTCCCAAGTGACTGAACTTGGGGCCATCCTGTGCAGGGCCAAAAACTGGACTTTCATGATCCTACTGAGCCCTTTCCACATCAGGATACTCAATGATTCTGTGAAGCTGCAGTACCAGCCACTGAATGGACTTGGGTAGCTGTGGGAAGCAGGCACCTCTCCTGCTCCCTTGAACCAGCTTCTGGAAGCACATCCCTGTGAGATTAAAAGAGCCTCATCACTGGAGCCCAGCTCTTGCACATAGGCATGGAAGCAATGCTGGATCTCTTAAAGCACTGTCCTATCTGTTCTTTTGCAAGGAAATGTGAGAGATTTATTTTTAAGCCACATTTAATTAAAAAAAAAAAAAAGAAAGGAAGTGGTTAGGGGCATATTTTACTGTGCACTGAAGAACTGTAAAGGATATAGTCTAAAATGTTCAGATGTTTCAAAAGCAGCACTGCAAAAAGCAAATACACTTCACAGAAATCTCTTTGACTTCTAGGTTGTTTCCTACGTGTTGGTGCTAAACCAGAAACTCCTTCAGCTGAGGATCTTTTCACCATCCTCCCACCCCCCACTGCTTTCTAACCGCTGACAGTAGGTGAAAATATTCATGTTTCAGTCCAATACCTTTATATGCATTTCACACTGGGTTTTTTCCATTCCCCTGGGGTTGGGCAGGCCATGATTATCACTCTAATAGAGTTAATTAAGAGCCTTGAGGCCCTGACGTTTTGTTTTCTTTGGGACCAGACCTATGGCTTGGGCCTCTGAGCTACCTGCTCTGCCCCATCCTTTTCCTTAGAAAAACAGCCAGGCAAAATCTGGCAACCTGCTCTTCAGGAGCTGTGTGCACCCTCTGGCCCGAGCTGGTGCTCAGCATCAGATGCAGATGTCTCCTATCCTGTGGCTAAGGTAAGCTCCCTGGAAAGGAACAACGTGTGCTGATCCTTAACTGTGAGTTGGACAATAGCTCAAAGAAATAACTTTACCCTAGGAAGTGAATCAGCAAGACAAAACCTGTCCCCAAGAAGTCCATCTCTGGGATGGGTTTGATGCTGGCAGAGCAGCAGTCTGCTCAGAGAGCAGGTGAAGGCCATCAGGTGGGGGCTGTGCCCACTTGTCCTTAACACCTGGGAGAACCATCGCCCAAAGGGAGCTTTTCCACTTGCCCCAGCCTTGCTCAGCTCAATGGGAATCACTGAGATCAGGTAAGGACTTTTTTTTTTTAATAAATCCAGGAGCATAGGGTCACTCCCAAATGTGGAATAAAATAATAAAACACTTTCATGTGGGAATCTTGCTGTCCTCTGGAGAGTTATAGAGATCAAAGGCTTAAAACAGTGTCTAATTGCAGGTGAGGTTATTCCTGTGAAACAATTAGCCTGTGTGCGTGCGTGTGAAAATGGAGTTGCTAGCAAACTGAACTGGGTGCTATGAAACTGCCTCAGTTTTAGGGAGTGTTAACTATTCCCTTGCTGGGTTATCATTCTTTTAGGTGACCAGTTTGAGTCCACAAGGTCTTAGTACCCCACTGGCTCCTGTCCCCTTTCTCAGCTTGTAACTGGAATACAAATGCAAAGAGCATGCACAGGACACAAATGATGGGGAGAAATGAGGACAAACTGGTGTGGTGCTCTGGAGAGGAGACCATGTCCTTTAGCTTGTGAAAGCTCTTCATGTAGCATAGAGGAAAATGGAGATTTGAAAGATAAAATTTGGGGCTCTGAAGCCTTTGTCTCAAATCTTCACAGGACGGTTCACTAACTTAAAGAATGAGAGTAAACTGTAACTATAAGTCAAACAGACAAACATACAAAACCAGGGTGAGGGTTTTACAGCAAACTGAAGGGTCCCAAGGGGAGGCTCTGAGCAGGACAGTCAACCCTAGCTTGTTTACTGCTTCTGTGGAAACTATGATGAATGGTAGAAAAAACTATCCTTAAGAGTAGCAAGGAGGGGCTTCAAAGGGAGGGAGTTGAGCTGGTAACTGACCAGCAAAATGGCCTTGGGAATTCCTGTCTGAAAAATGTGAGTCTGGAAAGGATGAGCAGAGCTGAACAGGAACTGCCCTTGGATGCAGGGTAGCCAATGTTCAGGACACAAGGCCTGGGGCTGGCTCTGTGGTGAACCCTGTATGGTCACAGGAACAAACCAAACATGACCAGTGAGGAGTAGAAACCAGGACCTGATGTTTTCAATGGTCATGGCCTGATCTGGGCTCTTGTGTTTCCACCTCAAGGAAAGGAGGAGAGGCTGAAAAAGCCAGAGAGAAGAAACAGGAACTTGAGGGACAAAGAGTAGTTCTGTGCCAAAGCAAAGTGAAAGGCTCTGCTCAAGAGAGTTCTTGAGATAGTAGAGAATTGTGAAGAAGTGATGAAATGGCAAATAATGAGGAAAGTGCACCTATTTTCCCATTGCTTCTCTTTCATGAGAGAGATGCTCAGTGTAGAGGTTAACAACAAGCAGGTTTTCAACAGCTTGAAAGTAATCAAAGCAAAGTCTTCTGTTAGCTTTTAGGCAATTGATTTTTTTTTCCTTTTTGTTAGTATCTATGAACTCTGCAGACTGATAAACTGTGAAAAGGCTACTGACAGGCATCTGAGCCTCAGGGGCCTATAGGCTTGTAAGAGGGTCACTAGTCACATTGTGTAGTCATTTGAGGTCCTTGTTCAGAGACAGGAAGAAAAAGCCTGTATCCTTGTTCCCTCCTGGGCTTTTGAGGTTCTGTTTCACATCCTTATAAAGTCTGAGGCAAGACACTTGTCCTCTGAACTTTGGAACATGGCTGTGGCTGCCACTTAACCCCTCTCTTCACGACAGGTATCTCCTCTCCTCCCTGCACCAATGGCCTAATTGCATGCATGAGTGTTGACACAGGGTGGAAAGAAGAAAGTCTTCAGTTAAGCAATTAGTTGCTGCCATTGCAGGCCCTGCCACAAGATAATTGAGCACCATTAAGTAATGTTTGGTTCTGAAATGTAGCAATTATCTTGGTAATTGCAAGGATGTTCCTTGAATTCTAACCCGTTTTTATTGACGTGTTGAGTGTTTCTGCTGCCATCCAAGCTGCTGCAGCACCTGGTGTGAGACAGCAGAGAAGGAAAGAAGCATGTGCTCTGGGAGAGCCTGCCAAGAGTGATAATTTGGTGATGCTTTTTGTGTTGCAAGCACTTGATATTGAGCTGGCTGCACCCTGCTCTAGCCAAGACCTCTAGCCTGGGCAGGGAGATCCTGCCCTTCCTGAGACCAAAGCAGAGCTGGGGTGGTGGAGCCTGGGATGGCATTTGAGATTGCCAGGGCTCTGTCTCCTTTCACATGTGCAAGGCATTTCTGCACAGCTCCAAGCTCCCTTCTGGTCTTGAGGGCTTGCAGTCCAAGGCCTGTCCTCTGCCAGGAGCGGAGATCCGAGCTCCAAGGGGATGGCATTGGCCACTAGAGGGTAGCACAATTAAAAGCATAAGGAAGTCTCATTTCTCGGAGTGGATTCGGCTGTGCCGAGGGTGCACAGCAGGAATGGTGAGACCTCTGTATGCCCTGTGGGCACTCAGCGCCTTCAGGCTGCCCGGGGATGGGGCACTGCAGCACCAGAGGCAAACTCATGGCGAGGAGAGGACTTTCCACAATGGATCAGGAGCACGTGGCAGCAGAAGCAGAGCAGGGCTCCCAGTGCTGCTGCTCCTCTTCCTGGCCACCATCCTCACTGCTCCCTCTTCACCAGAGCCCAGGCTCCCAAAGGAGCCTTTTGGTTTGGCTCTACTGCTGGTTTAATGTAATTTCTTTGTCTGTGGCTCTCCAAGATTAGAGCTGGTATACCACAGTGCCAGATGGCCAATACCAAGGTCTTTCTCCCTTTTGTGAGTTAACACATCTCTAAAAGACTTCTTGGATTAAAGAGTACATATTGTTCTTCTCTTGGCCTTTGCTGGCATGTACAAAGTGCCATGCACACTAGCAGATAAGAACACGAACACTTTTCAGAATTCCACTGCTGTATGAATGGAGATAAATTGGTGGTG